TTCAAACCGAAATGACAGAGTTCTAACATTTTATCCTTCCAATTGACAGGACAATAACATGCTCCAGAATCACAGAATAAATATGTAATCAACATATACCAATGCATTCACCTATATATATATATCAGACACCAGCATTAACATGTAATCAACATGATCTCAGCCATAATATCATTTACAGAGTATACCCCAATGTATATCTAATATATAACCTCAGTCTAGCAATTCCAGGATTTACAGATACTGATGCATTTGTACACAATGTATAATCAGCCAATTCTATCCAATTCATGTAATGACAAGGAAAAATATATATTGCAGAAACCGAGATGAATGATAAAATAGAACACAAAAGAGACCAAAAACAGACACTGAAGGAAGACAGGAACTTCCCTTACTACCGTTCGAGACCTCCAACGCTCTCCTTCCCTTCTTGCTGGTTGAATAGCTTGGGCTCAGGAACAGTCACCATGCTATGCAAAAACACCCTCCAGAGAGAGATTAGAACCAGTCAGAACCTTCCTTTCTTTGGCTTGGATCATCGGTCAGAAGACCTTCCCAAATCAGCCAAGAAACAACCCTAAAATCACCACTAAGCCACCGAGAAACACCACCCAACTTAGCCACTCTTTCAGGCATAAGTTTCCCAAAGGTTTTCCCTCTAAAACAGGCTCCAAGGTCGATTTTAGGGCTCACCCATGGAAGGAGAAGAACCACCTTTACAGAGAAGAGAAACGGGCAGGAGAAGAGAGCCAGAAGTCGAGAGAGAGAGAGAGGAACTCACAAATGCCAAGCCCAATTGAAATATCTAGTCTAGGATAAACCCCAACCGTTGATTAAATCCAAGGGCTAAAAATGATCCTCAACAAGCACACGATCCGGGTCAACTTAAAGTTACCAATAAGTGGAAGCCACTTAAGCAACAATAAGAATGTGCTAAAAAAAACCGACCCAACAAGGTGTTAAAGAGAACCACCTAAGAGGCCCAATAAGCCCACAAACTTCACCTTGGTTCTCGTAACACACTCTCTCGGTTGCGTAATTGCACATGGTTGCACTGT